CGCGAGGCCGCAGCCGCAGCCAAGCGCGCTTCCCAGCGCGCGCGCAAGGCCGAGGTCGCCGCCGCCGCAGCCAAGGCCGACGTCGACGCGGCGAGTACAGCGGCGTCTTTGGCTGTGGAAATGGCGGCGGAAAGACAGGCGGCTGTGACGGCACTCAAGGCAGAGCTGGCGGGAGCGCTCGGGACCGAGGTGACGGATGAGCTAGCGGCCGCGCTGCGCAGCAGCGGCGCCGAACCCGAAGCTGCTGACAATGATGATGGGATCGAAGCTGGACTTGCCCCCCTGCGCCGATCCATGACCTGGTGCCGGGCCTCGACGAGTTGCCCGAGGTTGTGCGTGCCAAGGCCGAAGAGCAGGTGCAGAGCCTCACGGCGTCGAAAGAGGCGCTTGGGGAGGCGCGCAAGGCGGCGGCAGACAAGGTCGACGCTCTTGGCGACGTTCGAAGCAGCCTGGCGGAGCTCGAAAGTGCATTGGCCAAGCTGAACAAGCAAGTGGCGAGCCTCAGCGCGCGCGCAGAGCGCAAGGAGGTGCAGGCGCGCAAGATCAGGCGCGAGGCCGTCAAGCTCCGCAAGGAGGCCGACGCCAAGGCAGCCGAGCTGGCAGAAGCAAGTGCCGCAAAGGACGAAGCCGCCGGCGAGCTGGTCACGCTCGAGGCATCTGAACAAGCTGCGCAGGATGCGGTGCACCAGCTTGAGGGTGATGTGGCGGCGGCAGCAGCGCGGTTGCGGGAGCTTCGGATGTCGCCGGAGGACAAGCTCGCTCGCCAGCTTGCGGCTGCGCTAGCCGAGCTGGATGCCGCCGAGACTGCACGCGAGACTGCCAAGGAGGCCGCCGAGACTGCGAATGCCGATCGCGCTGCCGCTGAGCGCAAGCTCGAGGCAGCGACCGAGGCAGCCGCCGCCGCCGAGGCCGCCGCCGCGGCGGCCAAGGAGGCAGCCGAGGAGGCAGCCGCTGCGGTTGCAGCCGCATCGTCGTCGTGGTGGTAGGGCGCGAGGGGATCAAGTGATAAAGGGGAGGAGGGAGGCTGGAGTCCGGCAACGGTTGTCTTGGCGCGGAAGGGCGGTTGTCGCGGTGAGGATGCCGGCCAAGGGGGGGAAGAAGAAGAAGACTGATGGACTCAAGGCTGCCAAGGCTCGGGCTGAGGAGGCCGAGCGGACGCTGCGCCTGCTGCGTCATGAGTACGTGGTTTGAGTGTGTCGGGTGGGGGCGGGGAGAGGAGGAGGGGGGAGGAGGGAGGGGGGAGGGGGGGGGGGGGGGGGGGGAAGACTCACCATGGGCGTGGCTGTGGGCGTGGAAACGGTACGCGTGGTGTGGGGGGTACGGAACGTGGGCTGGGGTTATGTGGGCCGGTGTGGTCGTGGATGGGGGGTGTGGGTGGGTGCAGGCTGGCGACGGCAACGGCGGCGGTGACGGCGCATGCCGAGACCAAGGCCGACCTGGTGGCGGAGAACCAGGTGCTAAGTGATCGGATCGAGACACTGGAGCGGGAGCATGACGTGGTGGTGGCACGGTTGCAGGGCGTCAACTCTGAGCAGGAGAAGCAGATCAAGAGTTTGAACAAGCAGCTGAGGCAGATGCACGACAAGTCATCTGCAGAAAAGCTCGAGCTGGCGGACAAGTACGAGGTGCGGATCCGGCAGCTCAACGGCGAGCTCGCCGACGCGCACAAGGAGATTGAGGAGCGGAACGAGGAGCGGGCTGCGATCGACAAGTGGCGCAAGCTGCGCGACAAGATGGCCAACGACCTCGTCCACCTCAAGGCCGATGTGGAGGACCGCGACAAGCGGCACAAGGAAGATCTGCTTGACATGCGACGCCAGCAGCAGCTGGAAAAGCGGTATTGGAACCTGGAGAAAGACAAGGAGATTGCGCAGATTCGCGAAGACGCGGCGCGCCGGGCAGAGGACGACATGGATGACAAGATCAAGCACATCATTGCTCTCAACGCTGAGCTTCAGCGCTCGCGAGCGCTGCAGGAGAAGAAAGCAGCCGAGTTGGCGCGCAAAAACGAGATCTATGTGCGGAAGAACAAGGAGCTGCTCCGCGACAAGGAGTTGCACATGCAGATGCACGAGCAGTCTGCGCGCAAGGCGCAACGGATGGCAAAACGCATCGCCGAGGCCGACGCCAAGATCCTCTCGCTCGAGCACGCGCTCACCGCTGTTGTCCATGAGTTTGATGAGGAGCGTGAGCGGTTGTTGCAGCAGACAGCCATCGAGCTGGAGGACACGCAGCTCGACGCCGAGGGCCTGCGCAAGCTGCTGGCGCTGAAGAACAAGGAACTAGCGCACATTCGTGCGCTCGCGCGGCGGGTCCTCAACCAGCGGACCGAGCTCGAGCAGTTCCTACTCGACTCACTCGAGTATGTCAAGGGTCAAATCACCGCTCGTGCCGCAAAGGCCGAGCTCGCTGACAAGGCTGCGTACGAGGCGCAACTCCGTGACGCCGCCGCCGGCCTTGCGCCGTACCCGCCGATCCGACCGGCCGGCGCCGCAGACCCCGCGCGCGCCGTTGTCCGCAAACTGACTAGCCTGCGGACGACAGCGCGGGCAGCACCGGTGTCGGAATCCAGTCGGGCGGCGGCCAACCCGCCGCCGTCGACTCCCGACTCGCGGTACCGCGAGCCGGGCACGTTCCTGACCCAGCTCGTCGAGTCCGAGTCCGAGTCGTCAGCCGACGAGCACGATGTGCTTGGCGGGCGGGCAAGAGTCGTTGACTCTGCGTTTGCAGTCGACATCCGTGCGCTGAGTTGGGACGAGCGTGAGGCTGTGCTCCGCCTCCTCATTGCCAAACTCAACGGCGTCAACGTCGACGCACCGCCGGGCGTGGCATCGCAGGCGTCGCCGGTCAGCGTGGCGCCGGCCGGCCGCAGTTCGCCATCACGGCCGACGCCCACACCGTTGGGTGGGTATCGCGCGGCCAAGACGCGGGTGCTCTCTGGCGGGGCCTCGCAGCGTGTGCGTGCCACATCACCGCTCGTGGCCACGGCTGCGTCGCCGCAGCCGTTGCGCAAACGACGGGCGTGAACGAACCCTGTTTGCAGTGTTGCGCTGCGTTAGGGCAGTGCAAGACCGGTAGATATTAGCGTGGTTGACCGTGTAGTGAAGAGCTTTTGCGTCCTTGGCTGATGCGCGTGCTGTGGATGTGCGTAAGGTGGCGATCGCGAGTGCGAGGTTGTCGACACCCTCAGTTTGAGGACGGCTGAGTTAATGACGAGTCTCAGAGCGCTCCTGGGTGCCTGTGTGGTCAGAGCCTCTGACCGCAGAGCTCTGAGAGCTCCTAGAGCGGCGAGTACCAGAGATTGTTGAAGTTCCAAAGTTGTGCTACTATTTGAATATATATTTATATAGAATTGTAATTGTAATAGTATGTTTATATTGTATTTGTGAGGGTTTTTGATTTTGATGTAAAGTTTTGTTAGCAAATTATATAATTGTGTTATTTTTGCACTTTTGGGTCCCAATTGTAGTGATTTCTTGCCAAATGGGGACAACGCCGGAAATAGTGGGGGGTTTCGCCTCTCATCCATGCTCTACGTCACTCACGTCGCTGCCTTACATAGCAATAGCTTTGCTACAACATAAGCTACGCGTCTAGCTCCATGATGTTGATGCAGCTTGTCTAGATCTTGAGAAAGGCGCAATTTTCCCCGTAACCAGCCATAACTGCAGTCACACTGCTGCCAACCACGCGAGTCACGCGCTCGCGCTCACGTCAACCAGTCACAGTTCTCTCCCTTCGACAACCATGAAGATCACCCTCCTCGCACTCGTGGCACTCGCTGCCATCGCCTCTGCCCACTCGGTCCAGCTCGTCAACGAGTTTGAGGCCTGGAAGGCCCAGCACGGCAAGATGTACGCGTCGCTTGACGAACACAACGCCCGCCTCTCCATCTTTGCCGACAACAAGCTTCGCGCCGCGGCCCTCAACGCGCGCTCCCAGACCGCCACCTTTGGCATGAACGCCTTTGCCGACCTCTCGCCTGAGGAGTTCAAGGCCTCGGTACGCCCCCCCCCCCCCCC